CAAGGCGAACTATGACGAGGGGAGAGAGAAGATACGCAAGACGGTCAGGGCTGTATATGAGAGGCGGAAGAAGATGAGACTCGAGAGGGAGGGGAAAGAGAAGTCGGAGAGGAGGAGGCGCAGGGTTCAGCTGGGTGTTGATGGAAAGTTAGGGGAGGGTGATCATTTCAGCTGAAGGGCCCGGAGTGTGTATGATAGTCAGGCAAAGGCATGCCACGAAGTGCAGAAGATACCCCAGCAATATAGGAATGAGCATGATCTGTCATAAACGTTACCGACAAATTGTCTCACATGCTACATGGTGGTATCTGAGTTGCATAGGTTGTAGTATGGCTAAGGTTTGTTGGCGGTTGGAGAATTTGGGCTCTCCGGCAACCTTGTTCTTGATCTCAGCGTTTTATTTCTCTTTTTTTTTTTAAAAAAAAAAAAACAGAATATACAACTCCCGAGGGAGTGAGAGGCGAGCGCCCACGAACACGCCTGGGCCAACCCCCAAGGGCCTCTGGTCATCATCGTTGCTCTCGTACACTCGCCAAGTCTATAATGCGCCGCTGATGTCAAGCCACCCTGCCCAACATTGACCTTATATTTTCTTCGGCACAACCACACTATCCGTCTAACTCATACCACCTCGCCGATGTCGACATAAACCGGCTCCCACGGCTTGGCCCCGTCCACCAGCATGTCACTTGGCACCCGGACGTCCTCGCCAGGGCTGTACAGATACCACGCCTTGAGTGCGTTCATCGCAGCCTTAAGGCGGGCCTGGTGCAGGTTGGCGGCAGCACCCTCTCCCAGCTTGTCGTTCCCGCTGAAGATGCCGACCACGAATACCGGCGTCCTGGAGAGACGTCCGGTCTCTGACAGCAGCCTTGCCACGGGGGGATCGAACTCCTCTCTCGCGCAGAGGCGGGACAGCTCTCTCGTGGGTTGCGAGAAGGAAAACAGCTTTTGTAGGTCAAATTGCCGCGAGAGTATGTGCGCCTTGATGAACGACCGCGTAGTATCCCTTCCACAGTACGTGTAGATTGCCCCCACCACAGCGCGCACGAATGTCGCGTGGATGTTATGTGACCTTTCCACCTTCTTGTCCGGATCCCCCAGGGTCAATTGCCGCTCCACGGGAAGGTCGTCCTCCGCTTCTTCACTCGGCTCGACCTCGTTCTCTTGGTCTGGCTTGGCCTCCCTCATTCCAACAAACATGTCGCCAAAGTCGTCGTCAAAAACCACGCTGCTCGAGATACCCCTCCGGAACCTTTGGTTTTTCGATGGGCCCCAGGTAGTCTCAGCTCTCGCCAAGCCCCACTTGGTGTTGAATGATCTCTCCTTCTCTAGCGAGAACTGCAACAGGCCCGGGTCAACCTCGGCGCCCGGCGCGGCAGCGCTCTCAACGCCCCACGATCGCGCGACATGGAAGAGGGTCTTGTCGCCACCGTAGGCCTTCATGGCTGAATGCAGGATCTGCATGGGTAGCCTGGGGAACCGGCACATGAGCAGCTCGGAGGTATGGTAGCTGATGAGCGTCTGGCCCAGGTAGGCGAGGTTGGAGTTGTTGAACAGCGGCGCTGGGTCGGCGGAGGCGTCGACGAGGGTGCGTGCGAGGGTCTGGATGGGAATCCTGTCGGAGAGGGACAGCCGAGCATGAAGAGCGGCCAATTTGGCGGATTTTGAGGCATCCTGGGGCAGAGGAGAGGGCACCGGCCCTACCGGTTCTTGGCCGGATATTGAGGGCCACAGTGGTGCTTCATTCGTTGCAGTCTTGGAGAATTGGTCAGAAGATATAGGCTCGCTGAGCTCCGGTTGCCCCTGTCTGATCTCGGCCGCGATGTCTCTTGCTGCAGCTGTGGACTGCCATCTTGGGGAAGAGGCGAGCTGGTTCGGTCTAGGAAGTTGTGCTCGAGGCTGTGACGAGAGGCTTCTTCTTGCTGCGACCCCTGGGCGAGCTGTAATCAGGTGCCCGGACCATTTTTCCAACCTTAACCTCTTCATGGAGAGAAAATGTGCAGGCTGCGCTCCCAGGCCACTCAATTGGGATACAGCACCTTGACTTGAACGTGGGACGCGGAGGGGGTTGTCGTCATGGGAGGTCGTGGACGTGGTGGTGGTCGTGTGGATGGCGTCGCGTGGAGCGTGGAGCAGAGCGAGCAGCCGCTGCGAAAAAAAATGGTGAGCTCAGACGCACTATCAAAGACGCCTGTCTGCACATGGCGCTCGGGTGAGCTCCCGATGCACCCCTGCCACAGTTAGCTGCCCACTGCTTCGAGTTTTCGCTGACATAATTCTCTGCGGGTAGACTGCCCAATGCCGGTCGGCAGAAGCCAGAGGTTGACCGACCAGCCAATCCGCGACCATCTGATTGACTGACCTCAATCCAAGCTCTCGTCGTCGCCCGCAGACATCACCGTCCCACGCAAAGTCCCATTCTTTCCCATTGACGAGGAGAAACAGACAAGATGGTAAGCCCTACCGTTCCCAATTCTTTCTCGACTGAGTACACGCTAACAGCTTGGTAGGGTGGCGGTCCCAGAGTTCCGTTAGTAGCCCGCGTCCACCCCCCTCGGACTCGACGACAACCGTCCCTGCCCATGCGACATGTAAACTGACAGCCTACCCGATAGATATCCCAAGCACGTCTGGTCGCCAGCTGGTGGCTGGTACGCCCAGCCGTCTAACTGGAAGGTCAATACTGTGGTCTTCGGTGCCGTGATTCTGGGATTCACAGCCCTCACCTGGAGACTTAGCGCGGACCGCGAATTCAGACACAAGATGCCGGAACCAGGCCGATTCTACCCAAGCCGATAGTACGTTGTCCAGCCAATACCACCCAGCAGGCTCTTCGAACCTCCACGGTACTGACTAGGGGCCAGCTGGACTAAGCAAATAAGGGAGCACGAGAAGGGTCAAAACGGAGCCTCGGCTGCAGCACTGAGTGCGTCATCAGAGGTGCAAACGAAGTAGGGCTCAAGTGTAAAATATGACGAGATCTCGGGGATCAATTGAACAATCCAACAAGGAACCAATTGCATGTCATCAGATCAGCTTGCTGTGAACCTTCATTCAGGTGTTCCGCAAAGTGAGGGGCTGTGGTCTCGTCAGAACTCGCTGAAGTGCAACCATTTCAGGTGTCCGGGCAATGGGACATATCATGGGTCTCGACCTATGGTCTTCCAAGCTCCCCGCAGACGTTGCCCCTGTTCAATGTCAAGAGACGGGATTTTCGAGAACGATTTGCCACTTTATACTTGCGCTATGGTATCCTTCAGGTCTTGATACAAATTGTCTGAATGACAAAAATGGCAGGTGATTGAGCTGCTCCAGGCCGCTGCGGTGGATTACTGCGGTCTGAACTTGTGGTAATCCTGAACGCTATTTTGCTCAATGTCCTCTCGCCATTGGGCGTGGCACTTTTCAAGACGTCCTCGACCGAAGCACCACAGCCAACCTCTGCAGCATATGCCGAGTAATATCCTGCACGCTGATCGATCCTCTAGCAGAATCCCTAGGTCTCAGGCTGCATGAAGGAATTCGATCAAACGGCCAAAGATCTTGTATTGACTGAGAGTTGTCACAGGGTCAGTTGTGGAATTCGGCTCATCAATTGGAACAGAGTTGGGGACTGTAACGTCAGATGGATAAAGCCAGCATTTATCGAACGTCAACACGGGGCTCCCTTTCAGATAATAGACTGGTCTCTGCAGCACCTATTGAACTGATTGCCTAAATAAATCCTTTGGCTGGCTATAACCTCCCCGCCGGTATTTTTGAAATTAGGAAGCCAGCACATGAGGGCAAAACCACACGGAGAAGTGGGTGCATCCATTTTCCTCCGTAGTTCAACAAGTACTCGGGTCCCTCACGCCAGCGTGTATCTTGGGGAGCAACAGAGTTTCCAATGTCCTGGGCCATCGCTCACTCCGACCTTCCCACGTCCATCAAATTGCCTGCTATAAGAGACAAGTGCTTTGAAGGATCCGTCATTGTACACCATTTCGTTACTCTTCCTGGCGCGTGTCATCAGCAGTTCGAAGTTGATGCCCTGGCGCAGCTCATCAGGCACGGTGCGAAGCCAGTCGAACACACGCTTCAGCTCCTCGACCCAGCCCTCGTAATTTGTCTCAAAGTCCGAGACATTGTCCACGATGCAAATTACTGTCGTTTTGTTCACAACCCGCTTCAATAACTCGACAAACGGCTAGCATAGGGCATCGATATTGCCACTGGCGATATCTTGCACTGCTTGTTCACAGACCTGATCGAGGCCAGATGGTGGCTGATTTGGGTATAAGAGTACTTAATATAAGACTGCGCATCAGTCCGCGCAGGCCCCTGGCCAGGTCGCCGTCAGGAAAGCTGTGCTAGCCAGAAAAGAGGTGTAAGACCACCAGTGTTGGGTTATGTGCCAACATCGCAGCAAGCATGGCGATTTCCATCACACTCATTTTGAAAATCACTATCGACAAGCAGGACGTCGGAGGATGAGACAAGAGCTCCTGGAACCGAGGTGTTGCGAGGATGTAACGACCACGGCCAAGGAAGACTGGCGACATAGTGTGACCTTTGAGGAGGACGGTGTCACATTCTTGGTCGGGAGAAAGAGAATGGGTTTCCATGAGCTCGACGAGTTGCTCGGTGGGCAGGTCTGTAGTGCAAGGCTGGATTGAGGGCTCAGGCATACCTGTAATCAGCACTACTCGGATAGATTTGAAGCAAATAAGCCTACCAAGTCTTTTGTAACAGACTCTTTGAGTTGCCGAGTTTGCTATGCTTTCACTTGGGGCGGGTGAAGTGTTAGTGTTCTCAGACTAGAGTGTACTATTATTTACCTCCCTACCCTTTTTGTCTTTCACATATAGTAATCACCCTCATAAGTACATAGTCAAAGCCTTTGTAGACTTTGGAAAGTGTAATTCTTAGGCGAGGCATCAAGACACAGTATTGTTTTGCTGGAACACAACACCCAACTATATGTATTTTTTATTCGCTTCCTAATTTTATTGCATGGTCCTTTGGCGCAATGGTAGCGCGGTAAGGACCCCTTTCTTCTCTTCATATATATCCAAGTCAAAATTCTAATATGATAATAGTTACTTTCCGGTGGTAAAGGTTCACGGTTCGAGTCCGTGGAGGATCGATTTTTTGCGGACGGGTCAGCCTCTCCCTGGCTTCTACCCTAGGATGTCTCGATTTCCAAGCACGAGGTTTGTTTCCAGAGTGAAATCTGTCTATTGATGTTTTGTTTTGCTAACACAATGGGGTAGCTGTAAGTAAAGCCTTGTGGAACGGTCTACTTTGTGCATTATTGAGACAGTCCTATTACATGTTATAATATGCACATGAGAGGATAATTTTGTGCAATGTTAACATTTTGTGGGCCTATAGAAACAATCCAGGTGAAGGACTTCAGAATTAATCAAATTCAAGGGTTAAAGTGACAGAAACAGCTAGCCTGGCGATAATTGGTAACCGTGGAGGCTGAGCGGGGCTCCGGATATCAAGACAGCTCCCGGAACACCACTTGGGCCACGGGAGCTAAGACTAGCTCTTCCGCCTGACGCAGACGTCGGGATGATGGAGACGTCGTGTGACTGTTTTGTTCAGACATCTCTTTTAAACTGCTTTCACATCTTATGACAAGATGCTCGGCAACTTCTCATCACGGCAAACGGTGGCACTCATCGCGGTGGCTACACCCACCGTGTATCTACTCCTATTGAGGTGGTCGGTGATGCGCAACATCCAGAGTTCCGCTGCTCAACGGCGTGATCGAGGTGCGCAGGCAGGACAAGCAACCTCAGAGGCCTCGTCACCTCCATCTGAGAGCACGTTACCAAGGTCACTGCCACAGTCCGTGGCAGCCGACGAGACCGACGGGTACATTCTATGGAGCGAGCGTGTGGTGTCCAAGCCAGTGGCCTTGTCTGAGCTCGGCTGGCCGAGCGGGAGCCTGGACAAGCTGCTCACTCGCTACGTCAGAGCCACGATGGTTGCTTTTACATGGACACCACAAGCATTTGTCATCCGGAAGATGCTTCCTGCCGAGGTCGGAGAGACCTTTGAGGCGAACTACATCAATGCGGCGGATTTCACGAGGGATCAGCGTGTTGATGGTGTGTACACTGTACAGTACCGAGGCAACGAAGCTCGCGGAGAGCGCGTGGAGATGAGACTGAGCCCACCAGCAGCGTACCGAGGCCCGAGATCCGATGGAATCATCGTGGCAGCGATCGAGCCGGCGGGAGCGGGCGGTCCCGACGACGTCGTCTTCGTCAACGAGACGTGGCTGTGGCGGAACCAGAACGAGAAGCCGACGCTGTTGGAGGGCCCGATCGGTCGCTGGTTTCACTCGCTTCTTGCAGCTTGGCTTATTGGCAAAGGCATCAAGTCTATCCGGGGACAATAGTCATTGGCGAGAAACTAGTCGGCCACCGGCAGAGTGGAACGCGGGGGAGGATCTGGAGGACTTGACTGGTTGGTTCTGCCACGGAATGCTGCGACGGATATGCTCGCTCCGGTTGAGGACGGGCAACTCATCCACTGCTGTCCGCGATCGATTCAGCCTGTGCACTACCGGTCGATCAATATCGGGCCCTGCTCTTGCATGATACCTGCAGGAGCACAATTGCTTGGTGGTTGGATCTTGAAGTTCGACTCTCTTTGTTTCTCCACCCCTCGGAATCACAACCCCCCTCATGCGCCTAGAGGCGCCGCACACCTGCATCCTCCCGCACCTGGTCTACTTGCTACTCTTTACGGCACACAGACATGCAGGGGCGCTGTGTCTGAGGTCGCCGACCTACTGTAAGGAAAGACTGCATGCAACAAATACGAAACTCAAGCGCGTTGTCTCCTGTCGGCCGCGTGCATATGTACCACCACGGCCCGACCTCCAGGATGTCTTACTTGCATACGGAAGATAGTTAACCAATGCCCAATTCTCTCCAGCCTGGGACTTCGGTTCCGAGGACACATCCATGCATCTATCTGCCTTTGCTGAGCGCCCGTCCACCAATTGTCTGTGCTGTGACCTGCTCAATGAAGCCATCCGGCCCTCACCGGTGCCCTCGATTGGCATGGTATGCAGCAGTCGTCAAGGGGGCCCAGTCTGGCCATCGACATTCTGACAGCATAACCCCCAGGGGACTGGAGTTGAGGCTCGCACCAACCCTTGTCACGGTGGTTCCAGAGTGACGCGGTAGGCTTAATTCTGCGTCGGCCTGAGTTCGAGACCCCTTCGCCACGAGCAGGGTCCGAGGTTGATGAGATCCGCCTGGTTGGGTGCAACAAGTCAGATTGCGTGCCACACGGGTCAATGCATTATTCTTATTGCACTCTGCGGGATCGAGTGACGTGTCTGGACGATGGAGGAGTCTCGACAATCTCCACAGGCGTCTCCGTATGATTCTCATCACGTCTTTGGTTCACATGCCTTTTAAGTACCCTGCTCATGCTGCCCCATCTAACCATTAACAGACACCACCGAGCCAACGACCGCAGAGATCGCCTTAACGGGCCGCCCTGCCTGTCAGACTTTAGTGTGCCACACCCAACCAAACTTGTTGCTCCTCGGCTACAAAGCTATTAGATGATTCAATCACGTTTCCAGTCACAGCGCATGAAATCTGGGGAAAGCCATCGACGTCTGTCGGTTTTGCATTGTATTGTAGCCAGGGGTATAGCAGAACTGGGGGCTTCAAGCTATTGACCGGTTCGTCCCATCTTGAGACCCGTGGTAGGATACCACTTGGATGATCTTCCAGCCCGGCCAGATGCGCTTCTACTGTACGGTTTGCGTAAAACCGGGGGCTTTCCTGCTCTCCTGGTCTGGACCTCTTACGGAAACATGGCATGAGAAAAGAAGACACCCAAACGCTCCCGCAGCGCTCATCTAATGAATTTCACAGCCTTCTTGTCCGTAACTTTTTGATCTCAAGTCATACCGCCATGTCGACTGGTGGGCCTTATCCACCGTTGCCCGATCCTTCGACCCTGCCTCATGATTCTCTGGTCCCAAATGTCATAGCATGCGCGGTTGTGACCTGGGCGATCTCAGCTGTCTTTGTCGCGCTGCGTTTCTACACTCGGACTAGGATTCTAAGCGTCATAGGCTGGTCGGATTGGCTCATTCTAGTATCGTGGATCTTCTCCTGCGGCGTAACCGCGAGCGCTATCGAGCAGAGTCAGAGGGGAATAGGAAGGCATGTCTACGACTATGACTGGTTGGCGAATTTGACTCCGTTCCAGAAGGTGAGCTTTTGCTTTCGCCTCCCCCAATTCACTCAATTGTGTGTGTGTATCAAACTGACCAGGCCCTACCAGGCGGCATGGTATGGCGTTTTGTTTTACACGCTTTCTCTAGGTTTTTCCAAGATATCCATGGTTTTGCTGTACCTGAATTTGTTTTCGTATCATTGGATCAGAGTCGCAGGGAGGCTGGTCCTCGCTACGGTCATAATAGCGACGTTATGGATGCTGTGTGTTGTTTTCACAGCCTGCATTCCTCTGGAAGCATATTGGGTGTTTACTCTCCGTGAAAAGGCTTATTGTCAGCCACAGAGCGCGTGGTGGGCAAGTGTGTAAGTGAATCCTTTGATTTGGCCGTCTTCCCAGGGTTCATTTCCCGGATGCAGTGTGAGGCGGACTTGCTCGCAAAACCTACAAATGTTTCCCTCCCGCAGATCTAACAATTCGATTTGAACTCGTGCTGATATGATACTCTGCCAGGGGACTCCACATGTCAACAGACTTTATAATATTTGCACTACCACTCCCCGTTCTGCCGACCCTCCGCATGCCCAGACGTCAAAAATGGATGCTGGCTATGGTATTTTCATTGGGGTTCTTGTCAGTAAAGCCACTCATATTCGTCAGGCAAAGACCTCCTACTAATCCAAAGACCTGCCACAGCGTTTGCATTGTATCAATCGTCCGACTGATGAAGCTCCTCCAAACGGAAAACCACCCGTCGCTCGACTTCTCCTATTACAGCGCCGACCTTGTGTACTGGACCTCGATCGAAGTGCAAGGTGCAATTGTCTGCGCATGTGCAGTCACCCTTAAGCCACTCCTGAACCAGTGGATGCCCCAGTGGTTCTCTGTCCATCGCCATGCCAACTCTCTCGGCCAGAACCCAGTACCCTTGACGATTGGGCAGAGGGCAAGCAGAAGAAAGCTAAGCAAAATCGAACAGCAGACGACCAGTCACGACAGCTGGACTGTCGACCGGCCGAGCAAAGACCTGGAGTCCGGTTCGATGGGCGGTCGACACGCTGAGGGCTTCTTGACCCTCGGCCCCGAAATCGATAGTTTCGATACAGTCCGCCCAGGGGACGCCACACCCTCTGTTCAGCTGAGCGACCTCCCTCCCGAGAGAAGAGGACATGTCGCCTCAGATCGCGACACCATACACTCTATGCCGTCACCGCCGCCGAATGTGCGTACAAGCTCGCTATCTGCGTTGCGGGGCCTGGCAGTTGGGGCTTTCCTTGACGACTCGTCGCTCAGAAGACAGAACCGGACTTCGAGATCTGGCCATCAGAGGTCGTTGACGAGCTCAGGATTTTACGACTCGTCCTCTGAAAGGTTAGATTGGGACTTGGAAAGAACCAAATCAGACGGTTCGACCCCCTGGAGGGGTTAACACTGTGCTTTGTAACGAATATGATGAAATATCCTACCAAATGCTTTAACCTAATATATTAGTGTCCAAATCTACTACATGCATGTTCAAGACAGTTTCACTAGCCCAAGAACCTGTATGCAAAATGCATTGCTGCGGATCAAAGAGACTCCAAGACGAATCAAACTTATCCATTGCACCTGAAAGGTCAGATGCCCATCATCAGAAATACCTCGCCCACGACAGTCAGTCCTAATATGGGCTCTGGGAGTAATTGAGACGTAGGAAAGAAAAATAAAAGCACACACACAAACACACACACCGACGCACCTTTTCAGAATCTATCGTACTACCCACAATTGTCAACATTGTGGAATAGAGTCTCGGATTTCACAGTTTGATAAGCTAGCAGGTAATGGTTGTAGAAAAAGCCCGCTCTAGTCTTTTCGAGAGAGTTCAGGGTAAGGATCTAGTTCACCGCTTGCTCAACACTGGGATACGAATTCAGCGATTTC